AAAAGAAAGGAAAAAAATTATTCAACAAGGAAAAAACTTCATCCAGATTTCACTACTGAATTTTATTTTCAAAGGATCAAAAATATCAACGAAGTCATAAAAATTTCTTTTGTTCTTAATTAATGCTAAAGAGAGGATCTTAGAAAAACTATGGTTTATACAACATGAGTATTTAATTCCAATATAATTTGTCGAACGGTTCAAATACTATTATTATCAAATTTTATTTTTATTATCAAATAATTTTTACTTAAGTCAGTTAAATGGCACTTGCTTCAAATACTAAAACAGGCCACGCTTTAGCTCATTTCAAATTCCCTGACTTTTCCAGGTTTTTCAGGTTAAAAAACGGAATTTTTCCAGGTAATAACCTGTTTAATAAAACTACATTTGTTGCCAAGAAAAATTTAATTTTGTTTTTCCCTGACATTCCCTTGAATTTCATTCAAAATTCTTACTTTTCCTTCACTCTAAAGAATATTCTGATTCAGTTTAGAAAATTATTACTTAGAAAAATGAATATTTTTCTTCTTTTTTAAATAAATATAATATTTATAGACTACTATTTTTCCATAAAAATTAAGATTTTCAAAAATTTCAAATTCAAAGCTTTTTAAAATTAAAAAATTAAAAAAAAAATTGTTATAAAACATGAAGAAATCGAGATCACTCCGAGTCTTCAACTCGGAGCAATCGATATCTTCATGTTTTAAAATAATTAATTAATTATTAAAGATGACCGACTGATAAAATAATTATTTTATATTGTAAGAATATTGTTACTGTAACTTCATAAAAATTATTTTTATCATTTCAATTTAATTATTTTTAAAAAATTTTTAAATTCTTCTTTAAATTAATTATTTTTAATAATTTTTAAAAAATTTCTTTGAAAATTTTCAAATTTTTTTCTTTACAATTCAATTTTAAGAAATTTCTTCAATTATTTGGAAATTCTTCAATCAAACATATATATTTCAAATAATTTCAAAAAAGTTCCATTAAACTTTTAAAAAAAAATTAAATCTACACAATTTTCATAGTTAAAAGTATTAAAAATTCAAACTTTCAAAAACTATGATTTGAAACCTTTTAAAAATTCAATCATTTGTAAAAATTTACGCTATAATTCTTTCTATTTTAATTAGAATTAGTAAAATTGTTCACTAATTGGAATTAGTAACTGAATTTTTGCTTTTAAATTAGTAAATTTTACTATTAAATTAGTAAAAACAAATATTTATTAGTAAAATCTGCTAATTCAAAAGTAAAAAGTAAAAAGTAAAAAGTAAAAAGTTTGTAATTCAAATTACAAACCATTTTTACTAATTCAAATTTAGAGAGTTTAATATTCAATTATTATCTAAAATTTTAACTGAAGTTCATATTTAAATCAATTTTTATTAGAAAATTCTGCAAGAATTCCATTATTTAAATACAAAAAAATATTTATTGAATAATTGAATGTTTCTTAAAATAATTAAACTCTTATAAAGAATTTTATCAAGAAATTTTTCAATAATTAAAATTCGAATTTTAATAAAATTTTTTAGAATAATTTCATTTTTCGAGAAATTAGATTAAAATTGTATTAAAAATAATTGAATCTCTGTAAAAAATTTGATTGAATTGAAAAAAGTTTTTGAAAATAATTGAAATTTTGACAGGAATATTATTAAATTTTTTTTTGTAAATAATTGAATTTTAGAAGAAGAATTTTATTATTTATAAAGATAATTGAAATGCTGACGAGAATTTTTTTAAACTTTTGACCATAATTGAATTTCTGCAAAGAATATTTTATTACTTTTGAAAATAATAATTGAATAATCTTGAGACGAATTTTAATAATATATTTCTTTTTAAATAATTGAATTCTTTTGTAAAATTTTATTGAAATAGTAGATATTGAAAATAATTAAATTTTGATATATTATTGAAATTAATTTAATTTCTACGAAGAATTTTATTAAAATTATTTTCATTTTTTTATTTAATGCAAAAACTACTTTTCTTGTATTAAGTGAAAAAATAAGAATATAGAAAAGTAGCTTTTGTATTAAATAAAAAAATACAAATCGTATCCTAAAAATAAATATTTTTGTTAACTGGAAAATTAAAAGAAAAAGAGGGGCAAAAGGGAGTAAAATTTTCAAAAAAAATTATTCTCTATTTTTCAAATTGCAATACAAATCGTATCCTGCATAAAATAAATTTTTTTCAACTAGAACGTTAAAGGGGAAAATGGGGTAAAAGTTTAAAAAAAAAATATTTATTTTTCTAATCGTTCGAAAAGTTTAATTTCTGCTAACAAAGAACTTCTACTAAGAAAAAGAATCCCAAAAGAAATAAAAATACATCTAGATCGGAAAATTAAATTTTCCATACAAATAAGAGAAGTGTGATAATAGAGGAGGGGGGGTTAAAAAAAATACAGAAAATGAATAGTTTCGCACGTCGTGACATATCGTGACTACAGGTTTATTACCAGCAACCGCGAATGAATGGAACGTGGATGATAAAGCATGTTAAAAGAGGGTTGGAGGTGGTGTTGGAGAAAGAAGGGGGATTGGAAGGAAGGGTTTTCATTCATAAAGGTGTTTTATTGTTTTAGGCACAACGCGACCGGCAAAGAGAGAGAGAGAGAGAGCGAGAGAGCCAAGAGAGAAAGAGAGTGAGAGTTACTGGATAATAGCATCAGAGGAACCGGAAAGCATAACCACTCACAAAAGTGGATGCTACTTCCAACCATTTTCTGCGACGACCCTTTACAAATTACCAAAATAACCTTCGAGACAATCCTCAACAAAATGAATAACAAATTTATTCCCATGTACAAAAAAAAATCATTTCTTATTTATTACCTTCCATATTTCATTAATTTTATCAATTCTATAAATTATAAATTTTAAATTTTATTATAAATTTTTAATTTTATTTTAAATTTTATTAAAAATTTATCAGGCATTAGTTTTATTAATTTACTAGTCTTTATAATAATTAATTTACTTGTCTACAGATATTTTGCGGAATAATGGATTTTTCTCTAGTTTTCTATTCGAAACAATACTATTTTCATTTTAGAAAGAAAAACTTTTCGTATTGGTCGAGAAGGATAATGTTTCTTAAATTTTCGCCACGCCCTTATGTGTACAAAGTAAACTTCCGGCACCACCTATATTATATAGAGTAAAACCCCCTTCCCCCTTATTCGAGTTTGTGCCCACCCTTCTCGACCTCTAGAATTCCTAACTTTCGGGCTCGTAGAAAATTTCACCCTAACCTAATCCGCAGGGACAATACTTTTTCGTGCCTTGGATATAATGCAAAATCCAGACGGAAGCGAAACCTGTCTTAAATGTTCGAAACACGCGTCAAGGAAAGACGAGAAGGGAACGAATTCGTAACGAAATTCGAAAAAAAAAGAAATTACCATTTACTAGCAATATTTTAATTTTAAAATAATTTTAAAATAGATCAATGTAATGTTAAATAAATAAATAAATTTATAAATAGTACGTTATCTATTCAGTATAGAGGAAACTCTTTTTTGTACCCTACTTTCCTTAAACTCTTCCTTTTTAAGTTGATAATTACAAACTTATTTTTCTTTGAAAAATTAAAGAAGAATCTGAAGAACAGTCAAAACGAAAGTCAACAAAAGTTTCAATTTTATACAATTTTTTGTCAATAAGAAATATTTGTCTAATTTTAGGTCATGTATTCCCAAAATCGTTTCTTCTTGACAGAAGATTGTAATTTTTATTCAAATTTAAATTATTCAAACTATTGAAAAATGAATTCTTTCTGTTTCCACCAAAATTAATTTAAAATTTATTTCATCTTTTTCTTTTTAAATACGAAATTATGTCACTGGACCAACTTTTGTTCCGATTATTTGTCAGCAGTTTTAGATTTTTTTAATTTAAATATAAAAAAATTTTGTTAAGGCCTCGAATCGACTTTAAGGCGCAAAAGCAGCCGTAGAATCCGAAACCTGTTTTTTTTCGTAAATCTGATAAAATTGTTTACATAACCGTATCATTCGGAATTTTTAATATTAATAGGAATAGGCGCAAAAGCAGCCGTTGATTTTTGTGGAAATCATAATTTTTTTTAACATTATCATTTGGAATTTTTAATATTAAGGAATAGGCGCAAAAGCAGCCGTTGTTTTTTTGTAAATCATAATTTTTTTATATAACCGAATTATTCGGAATTTTGAATATTAAAGAAAATCCTTTAGTGATACCTAGTCGGAAAAATTGTATAGAATTTCTCCATGAATTTCAGTAAATATTTTATAGAAAAAGACAGAGGTAAATAATTTAAAAACCAAAAAAAAGAGATAAAATTAGTGTAACTAAAACAAATAATATGAAAACAATAAATTATGTCTACAAATAAAATAATCTATTTTCCCCCACTTTATATTCTCTAATTTAATCTGCTAATACGAATTATTAACATATTTTGTCTTTTTATTTTAATTTTTATTATTCATTTTATAACTGAAACGAAACAATTTTACATTTACCAGCAAAATTCAGGTATTTTTCTATTCGATTCACTTCGTTTACGAGCGAGTTTTCATTCCATCTAGGCGGCGATTTAATGAACTATTGGCGCGAAATTCAAAAAGAGAAAAATATAATTCATGCTAAATTAATATTAATAATTCATTAATATTTATAAAAAAGTAATTATGTAAATTTCTACCTAATAATTTAAAAGCAAGAAAATACCAATGATATACTAAAATTTATAGTTATATTTATATAATATTTAATTATTTATAATAATTAAATGATTAATATCTACAAAAATAGAATTGTCTAAATTTCTTAAAATTTTGTTTTTTTATTTTCACTTACGCAAAAGTACTATTTAACTGTTCTAGTGAAATTCTATACAATTTTTTCGACCGGGTAGTAAATAAACAATAATAAAATTTTACCATATCAGACTAAATAGTCAATTATTAAATTGACTTACCAATTGAACTTGTTGATGTGGACGTCACGTTGGAAGACAAATGATAAATAATATACGAAAAAAATTTATCAATTTTCATTCGCACATTACTGTTGATTTGTATGAACTTATCGACTCTTTCTGAAAAAGAAAAAAAAGTTTTTGTTAAATTGACATAATTTATATTTTTCATAATCAAAATTAACTATAATAATTTGAATGTTCTTTCATTCATTCACTTATTTTCTGTCCCTCACACTCTGAAGTTGTCTTTTGTTAATACTATTGTTTTTTTGTTAACTTTAGATAGATTTTTGTATATTATAATTTATATTATTATTTTTATTTCAAATTAATTCAAAATTGTAATGACAAATAGAAATCATCAGAATTTTTTCAACTCCTTTTCATTAAAAGACTAAAATTTTGTTAAACATTATGTTTTATCAAATTGAAATTATGCAGATTTCTATTCTTTACTTCTAAGGAAAATTAGAAAATTGTTAAAAACTGTGATTGAGAAATAGAAAATTTATTTATTTTGCATAATTTTTTTTATGAATCATAATTGTTTTAACAAAATTATTATTTTGTTTTGGAAAAAAAAAGAAAAATATTTGCACATTCCTATTTTTAATCTTATTTTTGGAACAGGCTTTTCCACAGGAATTAAGAGATTCAAAAATTTCAAATTCAAACCTTTTTTAAATTAAACAACTTATAAAAGTATTTGTTATAAAACATGACCTAGTATATAATAATTGAATTTCTGTGAAATTTTTATTATTTATGAAAATAATTAAATGTTTGCATAGAATTTTATTAAAAAATTGTTTAAATAATTGAATTCTTTTTGGGAAATTTGATTAAAATTGTAGATATTAAAAATCATTGAAATTAAAAAAAAAATTGAAAATAATTAATTTTTTCCATGTTTTGATATTTTTTACTATTTAATAACTCGGAAGTTAAAATTTACCCTGGAAATAATAAAAATAATCAAAAAATATTTTATTAACTTTTAATAAAATAGTTCTACTTATTGTAATAGTTAAATTCTACTAACAATTAGTAAATTTTTATTCTATCAACTAATTCAAATTTACATTCAAAATTTGAATCAACTAAAAATCACTGTTTTGCTTCTGCAAACAGTAGAAAATAACTGATTGTCAGTGAAAAAATAACTGACTTTTATTAATACAACTAAAAAATTAATTAAATTTGACTAATTGAATGGATTAAAAAAATTTACTGAAATTTTAATTATTTTTTAATTGTTCTATCAGTGAGTAATCAATAAAATCTTTTTTTTTTATAAAATTAAGTTCATAGTTTGAGTTAATTTAAATTGTTTTTACTCGAAATTAAACTTAAAATCAGTATTATCTTCAACTAAAGTTTTTCTTGGAAAATTAGTAGAAATTTGCAGAATTTTTTTTTACATATTTAAATTAGTGGACGATTCAGATTTAGAGAGAAAGATAAAAATAAGAGGGAAGAAAAATTTCTTTTTTTTTCCCAGTGAAAAATAATTTGAGAACCTTGCGATAGTATACATGAGAGAAGGTGAGGGTCGGGTGTGCAAAGAATATTATGAACTCTCTCTCTCTCACTTTTCTTGACTCTGCTTCCAACTGCTCCTACTTTAACACCACCTTTTCCACTATGGTACAACTGCTCTCGTGGTGAGAAAACAAAATGAATATAAAATAAAATTAAAAAAAAAAAAAAGAAAAAAAAGGAGAAAGCTCACGGAACATAAAGAAAGAGGCAAAAGAGAAGAAGCTCTGAAGAGACGAGAGAATATAGAAGAGATGGCACCGGCTATATACTCATAAGGTAGAGAGAAAGAGAGAAAGATGTAGAGAGTCTGCGTAGCGTTTTATCGCGCGGTTTATGTTGCTCTCTTCTCTTGTTCTAAACTAAACCCGAGGTGTTTGCTTCTACACGAGCAAGAATGCTAATTGGAAAGCCCAGAGCTTTTAGCTTTACTTTTTACTTCTTTGACTTTTTTAGTGTGAAAGAAATATCTCTCTTTTCTAGAGTCGTAGTTCTTTTAGTTTGTTTATATGTATACTTTCTGTCTTTTAAATATATTTAATAACTTTTTTTTAATAACTTCTTAGTTTTTTTATATGACTAGTGCGATTTTTTTTTATTATGACTAGTGCGAGTTTTACTATATACTTTTGTATAGTAATTAAATTTTTTTTTCTAATTTATTTTGTAAATTTGATGAATAACAATTAGTGGAATTCTTTCATAAAATTAGTAAAATTTTACAAGAAATTTTTAGTACAATTTTACAAATCAAAAAGAGAAAATGTCAATGAAAAATACTGTCACAAATACTGGCCATCACGAAAAATGAGAAGAATACGTAAAACCTATCTAAAATATATAATATGAGAAAACACAAGAAGAAGTATGGTGCAATTCACTTGGTTGGAATTTGCTAGAGAAAAGAAGTCAAAAAAACTATGCCATCTCTCTCTCTCTCTTTGTTTTTCACACTTTCCACCGGTTTCTCTATGGGTTTTAAAGTTAAAGAGAGAAAGAGAGAGAAAGAGTGGGAGAGAGGTCGAGAGCCACACGACCCGACGGCAATCACCCCAACTCTCCTTTTACAGAGAGTCTCTGCGCTCTCGCTAATTATTTAATTATTTATTTACCAAGTTTATGCCCGCGGCCAGTTTAATTTTTTATTGTCTCCTATTAGCGCACATCTCATCCAAATATGCTCCAGCCAGCTGGTTTATAGTCGACTAATTGTTTACGAAATTGCCTGACCTCTAACTTTTTCTTTTATTACCCAAAAAAAAAGAAGAAGAAGAAAAAAGACGCCAACTTTATTCATATATATATGCGCTTATTTTTATTATGAAACGAGCGTTTAGAGGTTTTTTTATACAGATTAAGAGATTACAGAGAAGAAATAAAGTCGCAAGAAAATAAAAAAGAGTACTTAACGTACTTTTAAGAAATATTTCTTATTGCTTCTCATTTTTGCCGTTTATCTGAAGAGGGTTTTTTAGGAATGCTTTTTTAAATTTCGAAAAGCAACAGATATTTTATCTCTACTCACTAAATTTAAGTTTTTTGCTTTTGATCTTTACTGATTTCTGTTGATAAGTAAATATTTTTTATCGTTGCGTCAATTTTTTATTGATTAAATTCTTTACGGATTTAAACAGATCTAACGGATCAAAAACAAACAAAATCAGTAGACTTAAATTTAGTAAACATAAAATATATTTTCTTTTTACAGACTCTTCTAATTTTTCTTAATAATTCAACAGAAATTCTTCGCGTGTTTCTTCTTCTTATTTTTTTGGCAAGCAAACACAATATCATAGACAGTGAACGTCAGCAGCTGGACCATTACACTAGACATCTGCTGGACCGGTTGGTCATCTCGTGTAATTCCAGTTTTACGAACGGTTTCACGACCGGTCATTCTCATTGTTCACAACTGGTCCATCATTGTTCGTCAGCTCTCTCTCTCTCTCTGACTTCACGAGGATGCTGCAAATCAAGCTCGCATGCTCTTAGAAGCGAAACAGTGCAACCAGTTTGGTCAGTGTGTTCCTCAAACCAACTTTATTTTTCTATGTACACAATTCTCAATAAAAATTTCAAAGAAATAGAAAAACTGGTTATTGACACTTGCTACATTGGGGACTGTTCTGTTTTCGCATCTCAACAATATTTCTCATCACCGAAAATTGTCAGTAGTGATTTGTCCCTGGTGCAAATATCTCTCAAGTTTCTTTCAATTTGCTAATCGCCACGAAAAAATGGTGGGAATATTTTAAAAGCGGGAAAATTCGGTGGGAACATGTATTTATACACCGAATCCAATTTCAAATCAAATATTTATAGTGCAACGAATAATTTAATATTAATAAAATTAATAAAATTAATAACATTGATAACATTAATAAAATTAATAACATTGATAACATTAATAAGATTAACAATATTAATAACATTGGTAATTTTAATAATATTAATAACATTAATAGTATTAATAAAATTAATAAAATTAATAACATTTATAACATTAATAATACTGATAACATTAATAAGATTAACAATATTAATAACATTAATAATAGTAATAACATTAATAATATTAATAATAACAAAAAATATTAATTATATTAATCATAATAAAAATTCTCAATTATGTTAATTATAAATTAGTTGAATAATTAATAGTAAATTATTAAAAAATAATAAATTTTGTGAAAGAAATAAACAACAATAATTTTATTTAAACTTTACGAATGAAAATATTTATCAATAATTATTCAAAACCATTTTACTAGCAGTTAATTATCATTCTAATTATTCTTCTCGTTGACAATTACTACTATTGTTGAAAAATTACTATCTTTATTAATTTATCAATTAGTGACTATTCATAAATTTTTAGGGAATAAACTAATAAATAAATAATCAATAAAGAATAAATAAGTAAAAAATAAACAATAAATTAACAATAAACAATTAAATAATTAAAAAGTAAATAGATAATAAACCAATAATGAATAAATAATCAATAAAGAATAAATAAGTAATAAATAAACATTACATTAACAATAAACAATTAAATAGTGAAAAAATAAATAGATAATAAACCAATAATGAATAGATAATCAATAAATAATAAATAAACAATTAAACAATAAATAAACAGATAATAAACAAATAAAAAATGAATAGATAAATAATGCATAAACAGATAATAAACAAATAAAAAATAGATAAATAAATAATAAATAAATAATAAATAAATATAAAATGAATATAAAATAAATAAATAATAATCAAATAGTTAAAAAATAATTAAAAAATATTTAGAAAATAATTAAAAAGTAAATAATAAATTGATAACAAAAAAATAAATAATAAACAAAAATTATTAAATAAATAATTTCCGTCTTTTTTTTTATTAAATATACTAAAAACTTTTAATTTTTTACGTTTGTTAAAAAAAATTTGTAGAAAATTTTTTTCTTTTCTTGGTTTTTATTTTTTTACTCTGTTTTTTTTTAACTTTTTATTTTGTTTTTTTTTTAAATTTTATTTTATTATTTAATAAGAGAAGATTTCTGCATAACCGGTTAATAGGA